CTGCTGCTAAAAAGGCCCCCAGCAAAACCCCCAAGGGAGAAGAAGCAGCAAACGACAGCAGCAGCAAACACACCGTCTTCTTCGACTGCAGCAGCAGCAGCAGCAGCAGCAGCAGCAGCAGCACGCGCAACCCAAACGGCGAGAAAAACGGACCAAAAACACCACAAATTGCAGCAGCAGCAGCACAAACAGCAGCAGCAGCAGCACAGCAAAGCGGTGAAGGTGAAAGCGCAGCACACAGACTGCGAAGCAGCAGCCCGCTCAAACCCTAAACCCTAAACCCTAAACCCTAAACCCTAGACCCGCAAACCCTTCCTTCTCCCCCTCCCCCACCCCAAACCGCCCCAAACCCCAAACCCTAACCCCAGCCCCAACCCCAACCCCAAACCCTAAACCCTAAACCCTGAACCCTAAACCCTAAACCCTAAACCCTCACTGCGTTTCTTTCGGTGAAGTGGCACATCAGCAGCATGGCCTCGGCCCACTTGTGGCCCACCACAACTGCTGCTGTCAGCCACAAAGTCGAAACCTCCAGAGCGGCCCCCACCAGCACTCCTGCGCAGCAACAGCTAGCTAGCTAGCTAGCTAGCTAGCTGGCTAGCTGGCTAGCTAGCTAGCTGGCTAGCTGGCTAGCTGGGTGGCTAGCTGGCTAGCTGGGTGGCTTGCTGGATGGCTAGAGGGCTGGCCTGGTAGCTAGCCGGGTTGGTAGCTAGCTAGCTAGCTGGCTAGCTGGCTGGATTAGCTAGCTAGCTAGCTAGATTGGTTGACAAGTCGACGGACTAGCTAGCTAGCTATCTGGCTAGCTATCTGGCTAGCTAGCAATCTGGCTAGCTAGCTATCTGGCTAGCTAGCTATCTGGCTAGCTAGCTAGCTAGCTAGCTAGCTAGCCAGCTAGCTAGCTAGCTATCTGGCTAGCTAGCCAGCTAGCTAGCTAGCTAGCTGGAAGCTCACCTTCGAAGAGGCCGTGGATGGCAAGGGCGGCCATGAGGAAGAAAGCGGTGGAGTCGAATCTGCTGCTGCTGCTGCTGTCGGGAGTTTTGCTGCTGCTGTTGATTTGATTTAATTCATTTAATTGCTTTAATTCATTTAATTCATTTATTTTGTTCATTTTGGCCACTTCTGAACCTTTTGCTGCTGCTGCTGCTGCTGCTGCTGCTCCCTCCGACTTGCAAACGTCCCCCATCTGCAGCTCGATGCAGCACCCCTCAGGGTGCGCTGCAGCAGCAGCAGCAGCAGCAGCAGCAGCAGCAACAACATGAGCAGCAGGACTCCCGGCAGCAGCATTACAGCAGTGCTCCCAGCAGCAGCAGCAGGACTCCCTGAAACAACAGCACCCCCTGCAGCAGCAGCAGCAGCTGCACTCCCAGCAGCAGCAGCAGCAACACCAGCAGCAGCAGCAGCAGCAGCAGCAGCAGCAGCAGCATTACAGTAATCGACGTCTTGTTCATCAGAAGCATTGCTGCTGTTGGTGCTGCTCTCTTTGCCTTCCTTTCGACTGCCCTCGTGGGCCTCGTCGTGGCTAAAACCTGCAACAAACCCTAAACCCTAAACCCTAAACCCTAAACCCTAAACCCTAAACCCTAAAGCCCAAACCCTAAACCCTAAACCCTAAACCCTAGGCCCTGGAGGGAAAAGAAAGACACAGAACAATAGCGTCTACTCTGCATCTTCCACCCCAAACCCTCTCCTAAGCCCCAAACCCCGAATCCTAAACTCTAAACCCTAAACCCTAAACCCTAAACCCCAAACCCCAAACCCCAAACCCTAGACCCCCGACCCTAGACGCCCCGCGTAAACCCCAAACCCCAAACCCCAACCCCAAACCCCAAACCCCAACCCCAAACCCCAAACCCCACCCTAAACCCCAAAACCCTAAACCCTAAACCCTAAACCCTAAACCCTCACTGTCTCCGCAGAGAACTCCTTCGCAAAAAAGAATAATTAAATATCCGACGAAGACCAAACAGAAAGTGGCGGGGTAGGGTTTGGAGTTGAGGTGTATGTACACCTCAAGCTCGTCCAGCAGCTCCACCGCCTCGGGCATTATGTGCAAAACCCCCAGCGCCAAAAACGCACCTGCACAAACCCTAAACCCTAAACCCTAAACCCTAAACCCTAGGCCCCAGCCCCAAGCCCTGGGCCCGAAGTCTCAGGGCCTCAAGGCTGCAGTCTGCAGCGAGCGAACCCGCGGCTGCGCAACGGAGCAGCGCGAGCTAGGGTTTAGGGTTTAGGGTTTAGGGTTTAGGGTTTGGGCACCTGCGGCGAAGGCATTTAAGTAGGAAATGTTTTTGCCTATTTTGCACCTGTCAAGCACCAAAGGAACTGCTGCACCAGTGAGAGCAGCAGCAAAAAACAAAATTGCTGCTGCTGCTTTTGAAGCGACCAAAACAGCTGCAGACGACATCTTGCTGCTGCTGCTGCTGCTGCTGCTGCTCTCGCGGCTGCTGCTTCTGAAGCCGCTGCTGCTGCTTCTTCCCCTGTGAAAATCGACGTGCGCAGCTTCTCGTGCTGCTGCTGCTGCAGCTGCCGCTGCTGCAGCTGCTGCTGCTGCTGACGGAGGCCGCTCTTGCGGCGGCTGCTGCTGCTGACGGAGGCCGCTGTTGCGGCTGCTGCTGCTGCTGACGGGGGCCGCTGCTGCGGCTGCTGCTGCTGCTGCTGCTCGCTTTAGGGAGGAAAGAAAAGCAGCACAATAAGTTGCAGTGTATGTACACTCGAAACTCCGGAATTGGGGCCTAGGGTTTAGGCTTCACCGCAGCGGCTCGTGACTTTCCATCAGCTAGGGTTTAGGGTTTAGGGTTTAGGGTTTGCGCTGCCGTTGAGGGTTTAGCGTTTAGGGTTTGCGCTGCCGTTGAGGGTTTAGCGTTTAGGGTTTGCGCTGCCGTGTGGGGCGAGAGTAGAGACAGAAAAGAGACACTGTGAAGTGTCCATACACTGCAGCTTCTGGGCTGCACGGGTGCTGCTGAAGCCGCAGCAGTTGCAATTCTGAGTTGCTGCTGCACCTGCTGCAGCTGCTGCTGTTGCTGCTGCTGCTCTGCTGCTCGCGTCGCTGCTGCTGCTGCAGCTGCTCTCCCCGTGTGTTTGTCCTTCTTGTAAAAATAAGTTCCTAAATGGGCCTCAGGCAAAGCCTAGCAGTTCCTTTCTCGAGTCTGCTGCTGCTGCTGCTGCTGTTGCTGCTGCTCCTGCTGCTGCTCCTGCTCCTGCAGCCGCTCCTGCTGCTGCTGCTCGCGCGACAAGTTGCTATTCATTTAAACCGAAAAACAATTTTAAAGCAATTAGATAAAAATAGAAAGTTGGCGCGAGGACAAGCGGCGAGCAGCAAAGGTGCTGCTGCTACCAGCCCCGAAGCAGGTTTGCTGCTGCATGCAGACCATCTATCAAGACCACTTTGACCCTTCTGGACCTTCCTTCTGCTCATTTTTGCGTTTTTTTCAACTCAATTACTTCTATTTTGCATTTCCGTTTCAGTTCTGTTCTTTTTCTTTTCTTTTTCCATTTTTAACTGCCTTTTGCTGCTGCGATCGCCGCCGCTCGCGCGCAGCAGCAGCTCGCCGCTGCTCCCCACAGCAACTCCAGGCCTTCTGCTGCACGCGTTTGCTTCAGAAAATAATTCTTTTAGTTTTTTATTTAATTCAAATTTAATTTTTTTTAAAGAAAATAATCCAAACTATCTTTTCAGCTGACTGATCGTGTCCTAGTTTGTAGCTGCAGGTAGCCAGCAGCCGCAGCTGCAGCAGCTGCAGCAGACGCAACAGCAACAGCAACTCACGCTGCAGCAGCGGCAGCAGCAAGTGTCTGCATCACCAAAGAGCGTACAGGGCTGCAGCTGCAGCAGCAGCAAGCTTCCGAAGGAGGAAAGAGCAGAGATGCTGTAGCAGCAGCACCAGCGTCAATCAGTTGCTGCTGCTGCTGCTGCAGCAACAGCAACACGTAGCAGCATGGAACAAACTCCATTCTACTCTGCACACTTTGGGGGCGCCCATTTCTACTGCGGGGCCCCCAAAATTCTCTGGGGGCCCCCGAGGGCCCCCCTGGTGTTCTTGGGGCCCCCCTGGGGGACCCCTGGGGTTATGGGGCCCCCAGGGGGCCCCCTATTAGGTACTAGGGGCCCCCAGTTTAGTCTTAGGGGCCCCCAGTTTAGTCTTAGGGGCCCCCAGTTTAGGCTTATGGTATTAGGAGCCCCCAGGGGCCCCAAACACACTAGTGGGGCCCCCAATGTACCCTTGGGGGCCCCTGGGGACCCCCGAGGGTACTTTGGGGGCCCCTAGGGGCCCCCAAGGGTACTTCAGGGGCCTCTAGGGGCCCCCAAGGGTACATTGGGGGCCCTTGGGGGCCCCTAGGGGCCCTTTAATAGTAATTAATGGGGGCCCCTTGGTACACTGGGGGCCCCAGGGGGGCCCCTGCCATAATATTGGGGGCCCTTAGAACAATATGGGGGCCCCTGGGGCCCCCAATATGTTGTTAGGGCTTATAATGGTAATATTGGGGGCCCCTAGGGGCCCCTAATGGTATATGGGGGGCCCCTAGTAGGGTACTAGGTGCCCCTGGGGGCCCCCATTAGGGTACTAGGAGCCCCTGGGGGCCCCCCTGTAGGTATTAGGGTACTAGGAGGGGCCCCTGGGGGTTTTATTTTATTTTCTGACTTAAATTTAAAATTAAAAAATAAATTTGTAAAGTGCTTCCTGCAGGCGAGAGAAACTGCTTAGAACGGGATTTGCTGCTGCTGCTGCGCTGCTGCTGCTGCGCTGCTGCTGCTGCTGCTGCTGCTGCTGCAGCGCTGCAAGCGCACGGCCCACAGGGTCTATTTCTCTCTGTACAGCAGCAAGGCCGCACCAGCTAACGCAGCTGTTGCTGCTGCTGCAGCTACTGCACCAGCGGCTGCTGCTGCTGCAGCAGCTGCAGCAGCAGCTGCAGCAGCAGCTGCAGCAGCAGCTGCAGCAGCAGTATTGATGAGGCAATAAAAAGAGAAGTCTATCCGTAATTGAATTTAAATATTTATTTTTAAATTTATTTTTTATCTTTATAAACTGTAGAAATGAGGATCTCCTTTGTGGAAGAGGTGGTGTTTCTTCTTTTGCTGCTGCTCCTTCAGCTGCCGCAGCAGCTGCTGCTCCTCTTGCACAGCAGCAGCAGCAGCAGCAGCAGCAGCAGCAGCAGCTGCAGCAGAGAAGTACTGCTGCTGCAGCTGCTGCCGCTGAGCAGCAAATTCGGGAGGCCCCTGCAGCAGAACACACAAATGAGGCAGAGATAAAACACTGGCTGAACTAGGCTTTTAGGGTTTAGGGTTTAGGGTTTAGGGTTTGAAGCGTAGGGTTTAGGGTTTAGGAGTTAGTGTCTGGGATGTTAAAAACTATTTGGGGTTTAGGGCTTGCAGCAAGTTACTCCCAGCGCAGTATTTAGGGTTTAGGGTTTAGGGTTTGGGGTTTAGGGTTTAGGGTTTAGGGTTTAGGGTTTACAGGATTATGCCACTCGAAGTCAGCCCTCATGGAAACCCCCTCTCCCATGGACCCCAGCGCTGCAGACAGCACCATCTGCATCTGCTGCTGCTGCTGCACTAGCTGCTGCTGCTGCTGCTGCTGCAGTGGCTGCTGCTGCTGCTGCAGTGGCTGCTGCTGCTGCTGCCGCGTTTGCTGCTGCTCCTGCGCTTGCTGCTGCTGCTGCACCCGCTGCTGCTGCTGCTGCTGCTTCTGCTGCTGCTGCTGCTGCTGCTGGTGGCTGATGAAGGTGAAAGCATATTTGAATTTTCTGAAGACAAAATGTTTTGCTGCTCTTTTGAATTTAAAAGGAGACTTCAAATAAGTTACTCTCCACTCCAGCCGCGGCTGCCGCTGCGGCAGCAGCAGCACGCCCCCAGGGTAGTTCAGCCAAACCCCTGCTGCTGCTGCTGCTGCTGCTGCTGGCGCTGCTGCTGCTGCTGTTGCTGCTGCTGCTGCAGGTGCTGCAGGTGCTGCTGCAGGTGCTGCTGCAGGTGCTGCTTCGTCTGCTCCTGACGATGGTGGGGCTTCTGAAGGGTCTGTTGCTGCTGCAGGCGGCCTTGCTACTGCTGCTGCTGCTGCTGTTGCTGCTGCTGCTGTTTTGTGGGGAAGCCACTGCAGCGTTTGCTGCAGCGTTTTGATTGTTTGCGAAAGAGAAGATGCAGAAGTGGACTCATAAACAATTCTTAAAGACCTCAAATAATAAGCTGACAAGCCTCCTGCTGCTGCTGCTGCCGCTGGAGCTGCTGCTGCAGCTGCTGCTGCTGCTGCTGGGGTTGGGGTTGCAGCAGCAGGTGCTGATGGGCGCGGGAAGGCAGCCGAAGCAGCTCGTGCTGCTGCTGCTGCTGCTGCTGCTGCAGCAGCGCGCTGGGACATACTGTAAGAAATTAGCAGCTTAGAGACACAAGCAGCTGCTGCTGCTGGCTGTGATGGTGGTAATTCTGCTGCTGCTGTTGTGCTGCTGCTGCGGAGTCTGCTGCAGTTGCAGCTGACTGTGCTGCTGCTGCTGCTGCTGCTGCTGGGCGTGCTGCCGCAGCGCCTGCTGCCGCAGCAGCAGATGTTTGCGCTGCTGCTGCTGCTCCTTCTACTGCCCCCAAACCCCCGATCCTTGCTGCAGCAGCAGCAGCAGCGGCGCAGCAGCAGCGGCAGCAACAGCGGCAGCAGCAGCAGCAAAGGCACAAAGTAGTGCCACAAAACAGCAAAATGAATAAATGAAATAAATCTTAAAAGGAAAGGAAGCAAAAATGCCATCAAACCCTTTGGGGGCCCTCTGGGGCCTCGGGGGCCCCCTGGGGGCCCCCAAAGGGTTTGTATAAGAATAAACTCATTTGCTGTTTATATTTTTATATTTATAAATCATTTATTTCCAATTTATGTTCTTTGTTTGTTTTTATAGAGCCTTAATTGTCAACCCCAAACCCTAAACCCTAAACCCTAATCCCTAAACCCTCCACAGCACCTGTTGGTGGCCCGGGATGCACACAGGCGCAGGGTGACCTTCACCTCTACGACCTACGGTTTAGGGTTTAGGGTTTAGGGTTTAGGGTTTAGGGTTTAGGGCTTAGGGTCGAGAGTTTAGGGTTTGCAGCTCCGGGCATAGTGGCGCCACATCGACACCCAGCTGAGGCAGCAGCAGCAGCAACAGCAGCAGCAGCAGCGCAGCAGCAGCAGCAGCAGCAGCCGCAGCAGCTACAGCAGCAGCAGCAAAATCGTAAGGCCAAGAACAAACAAGCGCAGCAAAAGCAGCAGAAGCAGCAGCAGCAGCAAATAGGAAAGCCTGACTGCAGCCAAAGACACAAGTAAACAAGGAGGCAGCAACAAAGTGTAATAATTAATTAATTAATTTAATTGAATTAATTACTTTAATTAATTAATTTAATTGTTTTAATTAATTAATTAATTGATTAATATTTTACTGAAAAATAAAAAGCTGCTTCTTTTGTCCTTTTGCTTTTTGCATGCAAAGAGTCAAAAGTGCGGCTCGGCAATGGCAGCCACCGACTACAGCAGCAGCAGCAGCAGCAGCAGC